ATATATTGATATAGGTTTATAGAAATATAGATATCTATATATTTCTATATAGATACTGATATAAGCGTAATGGTCGACGTTGAGGAAGAATACGTTAAAGTCACCCTCATCATGTCCCTCCAGTGTGTTTTTATCATTACCTAGTTTGCGTTTTTGTTTACGCTGGCTAATTATTAATGTTTCTGGTCTATCATTGTTTATTGTGGTATCATTGTATCTGCATATACTCAGTCACTTACTCACATACTTGGCTGCCAGCATATCCATGTACCTGGATACTACGTGTATATACAATGATAGTCGCGTCATCGTCAACAATCACTGCCTGGGCCAAACACAACAACATCCTGTATTCAATATTCGTAAACCCACTCCCACCTGCCAACAGTCACTTCAAGCGTAGTGCTGTATTAGTACGTCCCATTCGCTACCTCGTCACACGATGGCTTTGGAGAAGCGCCCGTTGACCGATACGGTGGAATCACATACGACCTCCGCAACGGCAACGGCAACTACAGCCACAGCTGAGACCACAAAGGCATCTGCCCCTGAAACTGGCTCTGCCGCGGGAGTTGCGACTACGGGAGTGACTGAGAAACCAGCTCAAACGGCAACCGCAAGTGGTACTTCAACTGACCACGCTCGGGGGAAGGCGTCTGAGAGTAAAACGACCGCCGAGGTCAAAACGGCAGAAAAACCCGCAAAAGAAACGGCAAAAGATGGTGCAGTAGGCGCCAGCACAGATGCACAGCCGCCTGCCAAGAAAGCCAAGACTGATAGTGCGAGGGTATGCGATTGGCACCTGAAATGGCAGTGCGCATGCATGCATCTGAGTCTCCACGTATATATGGAGATATATACATCAGTTATGATTTACTATATATCATATATGATTTACTACAGATATCATGTCTGTCTTACAATATATATAATGTTTTACAGTATGTATCTATTGATGCTTTCTCAGAAGCGCAGCTCGTCTTGTCCCGTAACTGGCACAAGGCTCGGACTACGGGTAACTATTTTTGCTCATACAGTCCGAAAACAGGTCCGCAAACATTGTTCCACTGTGACTGGTAGGTGTCCATACGTTTGTTTGCTGTATCTGCTTCTATGGGCGTGTCGTGTGTACATGACAACATTTTGAACGTATAGACTCTTGTGCTCCCATGTTAACACAGAACTACAGACGGGCAATATACATGCACGCATCCATACTGACACATACACGCATACACACAAGGCACAAATATACACACACATACACTTATCGCACAAGCACAGGTATATACGTAGACACAAATACACACACACACACGCATACACATAAGACACAAGCACACACACACACACACATATATATATATATATATATAACACTCACGCACAGGTATATACGTATACACACATAAATGCAAATACACACTCATACAAACTCACTCACTCACTCACTTCATTGCTCATCCAATCATCCATGCATCCATGCATCCATCCATCCATGCATCCATCCATGCATCCATCCGTCCATCCATGCATCCATCCATGCATCCATCCATTCATGCATGCATCCATCCATCCATTCATTCCTTTGCTCGCAGCGTGTCGCACGTAAGAAGAAAAGTGTGCGCAAGGCAGCTGGGACCAGTCCACACCTGCCCACGTGGACGTACTCACCCGGGGACCTAATTCCGGACCTGTCTAAGAATATAGGCGAGACTATTGAAGTGATCATCCCCGCCAAATACATCTCCCCACAGTACGACCGCGCGGCCTTCTCCAGGCAGCTGTGGGGGTCGGGTTGTACACAGACGACAGTGACATATTATCGGGTATGGTGTGTGTGTGTGTGTGTGTGTGTGTGTGTGTGTGTGTGTGGTGGTGGTGGTGTGTGTGTGTGTGTGTGTGTGTGTGTGTGTGTGTGTGTGTGTGTGTGTGTGTGTGTGTGT